TTTTCTCCTTTTCATGTTGTTGTCCACGTGTCCTTTGATACTAAATCTTCCGCTGCGCTGCTTCCCAGCCCATGATGATAATGATGCGAATGTGTGTTGTTGATTTCTCGCTGGTTCACCCTTTGCACCGTGCACATTGACATCTCGTGGATGTTGCACCTATGCTGCTGGTTGTTGCCACTTTCGTCATTGCTAGATCCTAGGCTCTCAGTGCATTTCACTTTCTGATATGCTACAACAGTCTCCAGAGCCCCCTAACCAATGATACTACAAGTGATCACGTTAACCCAAGTGCGATTGAGCATGAAAGACTTCCACAGTCTCCAGAGCCCCCTAACCAGTGATACTACAAGTGATAATCCACCTTAACCCAAGTTGCGATTGAGCATGAAAGACTGCGCGGCAACCTATCTATACCTGTGTCTATATATAAACTTTGATAGTAAGAAAAGATGTGTATTGTCACATATCTATGAACTAAAAAATATGTGTAAATTACTAAATTTATATAAGAATTACATATACATGTGAACATATATACGAATTCACATGTATATACAAATTCACATGTATATACAAATTCACATGTATATACAAATTATATATACAATAATAGTAAAATGTCCCCCTAACAGCAGGAGCACACCCCCCCGGTCAATGTGGAAAAGTGTTCCAGAAAACTCTCAGGAGACTGATGTCTGCATCACTATAGATTATTCAACAAGTTTTGCTTCTCATCAGGCTCAATACTTCCACAGCCTTGATCCTGACTCTGAAGTAATCCAGAATCCAAATAACTGACCGTTATCGAAGCTGTTCACGGCCAAGTAGCGTCCTTCCTCTTCACCATCTTCTGCAGAATCCGAAAGCGGAACCAATAACAACAAAACCGACGCAACCGCAAACATCGCTATTTGATCAGTAGGCACCTTTTAGATTCCAACGACCTGCATTTGACTTTGAAGTTTGAATGAAAAAAATTGAAATATCAGAACGCATTACATTGAGCAGGACTGAGTTAAGAACACACACAAAGACATTGTCCTTTGATCTGTGGGTGACTCGGCTCGGATTCTAATGGCCTGGGTTACATAGGATGGAACTGGAATGAACCTATGAATGCCTTGCCTCCATGTACATGGTCCTAAGACAACCCTGATGCATTGCTGCATTCAATGCATTGCCTGTCACCGGGCTTCGCCTCTTATTCTTGGCCCCGTTTCTCTGTTGGTGGCATGGTGATCCCTGCTGCACTGCATATCTAACTGCACCTTTATGACCTGTTGAGAGGTTCCACTTGCCTGGACCCTTGGTCCTGTGCCTTAGATTAGGGAGGATCAGTCGACATGCAGGAGGGCAGAATCATGGTAAGGTGGACCTTGCCCCTGCTCAGCCAGGCTGCATAGCACCTCTGCTGCATGCTTGACTGGCTTTGGTTAGCCTAGACTGGGCTATATTCATCTATCTATAACTTCTAGTCGGTCTCATCTCATGGTGTCCCACTAGACCCATTTCCCACCTGGGCCCACAACCCTTCCGCTAGCGGTGTTTTTGTTGTTTGCCCTCCATGGGTGTTGTAGTTCTGTGAAGGTGAGATTCCCCGTGTCTGCTCTCCGAACTGTAAGGCAGTTTTGTTTTTGTTTCCTTTGTCACTTTGCAGCAGGCGAGATTTTCCGAGGTGTAGTCGAGTTTTGTTTTTGTTTCCCTTGTCGTTTTGCAGCAGCCGAGATTTTCCGAGGTGTGGTCGAGTTTTGTTTTGGTTTAGGTGTTGCTTTGTGGAAGGCAAGATTTTCAGAGCTGTGGTAAAGTTTTGTTTTTGTTTCCGTTTTTCGCCATCCACCATGTTTGTCGTTTCTGCATACGGCTGTGCCTGTAGATGAATAGAATGAATAGAGTCGCTCAGACACATCTGAACCATGTGAATGGGCAGGACAAACCTGGCTAGTAACTGCAAAGAGCAGTGGAAGTGGCTCTCCAAGAAAAGGCGTTCAAACACCCACTGTGAGGATGATAAGTGCAAATGTATCTGTTAGTACACAGCTCATGAGTGAGAGAAGGTTAACGGAGACCCTAATTTTCAGGCCACTTGCCATGCCATTTATATGAAAACCAAAGGGTCATTTTAATCAAACTTGCCACCAATTCGTAGAGTGGAGACCATACTAACTGCAAAAAAAAATCAAAAAAAAAAAAAAAAAACACATATAAAACAGCAAGGCAAAAGTGCATTTTCATGAAATTTCGCCAACATCTCAATTTCAGAAATTTTGAGAAATTTCAATTTTCAGAAATCTTAACAGCGGAAATTCCAATTCTCCAAATGTCGGGACGTTGCTGGGCCAGCGCCAAGCGGCCGCACGTAACGAGCTTTTTCCGATTTTGGGAGGTGATGTGGGAAAAACCGCCCCCACACGACGCCTGCCCTCCATTCGACTTCGACTTTTCATTTTCATACCCTAGGCTTCAGCGCTCGACTTCGACTGACGTCTACGCTGTTATGCTCAACTACGACTTCGCTCTACGTTGGACACACGCGCACACGCACACGCAAACACGCGCCACCACGCACACGCACGCACGCACACACACACGCAAATGTGGTGAGTCTTTGGCTATCAGTACAGTTCATCTTGGGCGGACTGTCGGGGTTCAACCTCCTGATGAGTCGGTGGAAGTCCGACGAAACAGTCTGGCTGAGTCATTTTGTGAGTTCTGTATAGCGAACATAACAACACTCACACAAACTTAGACTCACCCACGCAGAACACACACACCCACACGTGCACACACATATACACACATACACACACACACACACACACAAACACAAAGACACCCACCCAGGACACACCATCTCTGCATCGTGACTGTTGGACGCTGAGGCTTGAGCTGTTGTGCAGCGTCAAGGCTTTCGAACGACGGCACCTTGATGACTGACGGTGAGTTCGTTATTCGTCTGTTGCTTTCGTTTTTTGTGGTCTTGGAACTACAAGAGAGAGAGAGTGCATCATTGTCCTCGCGCATGTGTGTGTGTGCGAGAGAGAGAGAGAGAGAGAGAGAGAGAGAGAGAGAGAGAGAGAGAGAGAGAGAGAGAGAGAGAGAG